AATTTAATTGTTGCTTCTTATCATCTGTCATCAGTTTCATTAAGTTTTTGGCAGGTAGGGGAGGAAACAGGATGCAGATAACAGTATGAAGGATGCTAGCCGAATGATAAGACTATACTCCCAGAAAATGCAAAGAAATAAACTGAGTTTATTAAATAATTTGGCAAAGCGATGAGACCAGAGAAATACCCACTACTGCACAACATTCTCTAGCAATTCTGCTTCTCACCAACAACTCCACACTCCTCCCTGGATAGAAAACGAGTATGCCAGCACACACCATCTGCTTGAGGCTCTAGCTTTGAACCCCTGGAAAAGTTGGCTTTTAACAATGAAAGCATTATTACATAAATATATATTTGCCGTGTTCTGATTTTGAAACAGTAACAAGCGTGAACGAAAACCAGTGAAGTCTTCCTTTTCCGCCTTCCTGGGACCAACCTCGAAGCAGGTGGGTGACCCAACAGCTGCTCTTGGATATGGTAATTGGAGGAAGGAGAATTGGCCAAGAAGTCTGATCAAGCCAGGGCTGGTCTGTCTGACCCTGTGGCCTCTGAAGCAAGACCTGGGGTTCTATGGAGTGGAGCCAGGCAGAGGTTGGGATGGGAATTTGGACAAATTGGGCGCCACGTAGTGTGGGGCCCATGAGTGGTCTCAGAGTCAGTAAACGGGGAGAAGGAGGCAACACAGGGGACAGGGGCTGGAATTTCTCCCAGAGGAAGCAAACTGTCTTGACAAGGACCGCCTACAAGCACCCAGGGGCTCCGCGCTTCTCTTATGGGCCAGACTCAATCTCCGAGAGCACGGACAGAGGATGTGGATGGAGGATGTTAACACCAACCACGGATCCTGGCTTTCAGGTGGCTAATCTGGGATTTTAAGGTCCTACCAGAGTAGCGAAAAGAACTTAGCACCCACCACAAAGGGATACAGGATAATGAAATGACAACCATGTCCATTTTTCTGGACCAGCTGAACTGAGCAGAGAATACACCAGAAGATCACGCTGGTCCTATCCACCTATAAGGATCTCGGTGAGCCTGCACATGTCCTCACACCTCTGCAAATGGGTAGGTTTTACCTACTCGTGAGGTCAGAACCTCAGGGAAAAAAAGCAAGGGAATGTGTTTATAAAGACTAAAGGACATTCAAAAACGTTCCCCATGCTGTGTTTTCAGACTGCGCCGGTTAACATAGTTCAGGGACATCTGCTCTGTATCAGCCTTTCCTCGATGGTCCTCAGCCACATCGAAACGTCAAAAGGGTCAAGCCCATTTCACTATCCAGTGTCTGGCGAGTACACTTAAGTACGGAATACAGTGCAGCCATTTAAAATCATACAGGGAGGGGCACCTGGGTGGTTCAGTGGGTTAAAGCCTCTGCCTTTGGCTCAGGTCATGATCCCAGGGTCCTGGGATCGAGCCACGAATCCAGCTCTTTGCTCAGCAGGGAGCCTGCTTCTCCCCTCTCTCTCTGCCTGCCTCTCTGCTTACTTGTGATCTCTCTGTCAAATAAATAAATAAGTAAAATCTTAAAAAAATAATAAAATAAAATCATACAGGGAAGGATACTTCAGGATATGTTAAAAATGGCATTCTGTGTAATTCGGTTTTGGGGCAATTGTCTAAAAAAACTTACAGTGATCTGTACCATGAAGCACCATCAGCAGTAACCTCTGAATTACAGAAAAACTATTGGATTTTCTTTTCTTTTGTGGGGGGGGTGGTGCTCTTTTGCATTTCCCAAGTTTTAATAACCGTGTGTTAATCTTCCAATCAGGAAAGTCATTATTTTACAAGGGCTCAAGTTTAAGGGTGATGTAACATTCCTTTATACATTGAAGTTTTGATGTGGTTGGCCACCAAAGCACCTCTTATTTTAGGCTGCTGACGAGGAGGTGGTCCTAAAATTTTCCCTTGAGGTTATCAACCACTAAGGGACGATAACGGTTGGGGATCCTGAACTGACCGAGGCCAGTACCCCAGCCAGTTGCATTCTTCTCTCCCCTGGAAAGTTCGGGAATTCTGGAGAAGGCATTCGGTTGGGACAGCGGGAGACAGCTATCGATTGGGTCAAATTCTGAGACCTGCTGGGTGCTGTTCTGATTTGAGTCTCTCCAGCCCGGGGTCAGCAAACTTTTCTCAGGCAGTAAACAGTTTAGGGTTAAGGGGCCATATGAGCTCGGTTGCAAGAATGCATCTCTGCTGTTGCAGCAGGAAAGCACCTTCGATCACACACAAATGAGTGTGGCTGTGTTCCATCAAAACTTGATTTACAAAAAAAGTAGTTTGTGGACCCCGGAAAACCTCCAGGTTTCTTAACTTAGTTCAAGAAGATGAAGCGACCAGGTACCAGCCAAGTCAGTCCCTGAAAATACAGTCAAAACCCCCTTATCCGCATTTTGCCTTCCATGGATTCAGTTACGTGTGGTCAATTGTGGTCTGGAAGCAAACTAACCTCCTTCTGACCTATCATCAGAAGGTCAACGGCAGCCCTGACACTCTGCCTACGTCATTTGCTGTCATCTCATCACGTGGGCATTTCATCACCTCACATCGTCGTAAGAAGGGTGAGTATCATACAGTGAGATACTCTGAGAGAGTGAGAGAGATCCTATTCCTATATATTTTACCACAGAATTTTGTTCTAATTCCTCTATCTGATTGCTGTTGCTGTTAATCTCTTATCTGTGCCCAATTTATAAATTAAACTTTATAACAGGTATGGATATGTAAGCAGAAACAGGTGTATGTGTCGTTTGGTATTATCTGTGGTCTTAGGCACCCACTGGGGGTCTTGGAATGTGTCCCCCACAAGGAAGGGGGGACTACAAAACTGAACCCTGCTTTTTAAGCTTTTTCCATCTCTGAGGGATTAGCAGTGGCGACTCTATGCTGAGGGAGGAAAGCCCACTATCATGCTTATGTCTTTCTTTCTTTCTTTCTTTCTTTATTTTTAAAAGATTTTATTTATTCATTTGACATAGAGAGACACAGCGAGAGAGGGAACACAAGCAGGCAATGTGGGAGAGAGAGAAGCAGGCTTCCCGCTGAGCAGGGAGCCCGACGTGGAACTCGATCCCAGGACCCTGGGATCAGGACCTGAGCCGAAGGCAGACGCTTAATGACTGAGCCACCCAGGTGCCCTATGTCTTTATTTATTATGTTGGTTTTTCCTCCAGCTAAGCTATGAGTACCTGAAGTTTGAGGAATGAGTCTACATTTTTAATACCATGTATGCAACGTGATACACACTCAAAACTCAACAGAGAAGGTGCTCGACACGCCCTTGCTGAGAACGGCATGAAGGAATGAGCGTCCTCCCACACCAAGCTGGTGTGAAACTGAGTTCTTGGGTGACGCCCCCTGGGAGCCACTCCAGCTCTGTCCAGGTAGACTCCACTTTGAAAAGGACAACCTATGTTCCCCCACAAATATGCCTATACCTTCCAGAAGGATTTCTTTTTTTCTTTCTTTAACATTTTCTTTCTTTATTTATTTATCAGAGAGAGAGAGAGAGAGAGAGTAAGAGCAGGGGTGAAGCAGAGGGAGAGGGAGAACCAGGCTCCCCACCAAGCAAGGAGCCTGATGCTGGACTGGATCTCAGGACCCTGGAATCACGACCTGAGCCGAAGGCAGATGATTAACCCTGGAATCACGACCTGAGCCGAAGGCAGATGATTAACCGACTGAGCTACCCAGGCATCCCAGGCAGGAACTTTCTAGAAGAGATTTCTAGAAGATGTTGACACAAAGAACCATAATGTAGGCCTGGCCAAAAATGGTTCTTTCTAAAGGGTTACTTAGTTCTTTTCAGGGACTGTTTTCACCTGGAGAAATGAGTTCAAGTTGATGATGTTTGTGAGTCCTTATAGCTCTTGCCTCATGGCACTTAGGTGCTCCCACGACCTCTTGCATCCTGGTCTGCATTCCCTGGGCTCTGGGAAGGCTCCAAAGAGGTCACCTTGTCAGGAAAGGCTCTCTTGACCATTATGACAGAGTCTCCATCTTCATCATTCTCCACAAACGCAGAACACGTAAATGGAGGAGAGGTTAATGGGTAAAGCTCTGTAGCTTCTAGAGCCAGGCTCTTCCCTCAGTGGGTCCTGATGGAACCCAGAGCCCAATCTTGGGGTGAGGCTCTTGAATCATCAAAACATCCACTCCCTAAGAGAAGGCAACTCCCAATGACATGGCCCCAACCGAAAGAGGCTGGGGTAAAAGCCAGGTCAGAAGATGGATTCTCACCAATACTAACAAAGTATGGGGCTGAAATCTAGAAAGAATTGGCTTGTCCCATAAGGTAAGTACTTTGCAGGACAGGTACACTGATTTTAATGTGGGATATGTATTAGTGTGCTTATATGAACATAAGCATAGTCCAGAAAATCCATACAGGATGTACACAGATATTTGATAGTGTTCATTTTTCTTTTCTTTTTTTTTAAGGTTTCATTTATTTGAGAGAGCATGAGCAGGGGGAGGGGCAGAGGGAGAAGGAGACTTCCCGCTGAGCGGGGAGCCCAACATGGAGCTCGATCCCAGGACCCTGGGATCACGACTTGAGGCAAAGGCAGACACTCAACTGACTGAGCCACCCAGGCGCCCCATAATCATTTTTCCAAGTAAATGTTAATAGTCACTGAGAAGATGTACGCTCAATCCAGTGATCAGAAAACAAATCCTGGAGTTCGAGGTCCCCACCTCCCCCTCAAACACCAATGACAACCATTTTGGGTGACCAAGATTTCTGCACAGAGGCCTGCAGAAAAGACATAAAGCTGGAAAGAAAGCTAGGCCACAAAGAAATTCCAGGGAGAAATAATAGGGAAATTGCCCCAGAAAGCAAATGCCAGAGCTTCTCCAAGGTCCCAGGCACAGATCCTGCCGCTGGCCCTCAGCACCATGGGGCCAGGAAACTGTCATAACTCTCGGAGCCCAGAGGGTGAGGGCACAGTACGGAATGGGGGGGGGGGCGGGGGGGGCGGGCGCACTACTCACGCGGTCGTTGCTTCCTTTGTTGTCCTCGTACTTGGTTTCTATATGAATGGAGAATTTCGGCAGAAAGGAACACTACGGGGGAAAAAAGTAAAGTTCCATTAGCATACCATTTTTCCTCTCTTCACATTCACCGTACAGTCTCTGGACCCTCTCCTGACCATCATGCTGGGCGCACTACTCCCGATCAGTAATGTAAAGATACTAGGTCAATATCCAAATTCAGAAAGAAAGCCGCCTTTGGCAATATGAACACACTTGTACCCAGAAGTCAGGCCAGAGTTGTCCATTTCCAAAAGGAGTACATTCTCTGAGTCCTATGACAGGCTTTTTTTTTTTTTTTTTTTAAGATTTTATTTATTTATTTGACAGAGAGAGATCACAAGTAGACGGAGAGGCAGGCAGAGAGAGAGAGAGAGGAGGAAGCAGGCCTCTTGCTGAGCAGAGAGCCCAATGTGGGACTCGATCCCAGGACCCTGAGATCATGACCTGAGCCGAAGGCAGCGGCTCAACCCACTGAGCCACCCAGGCGCCCCTATGACAGGCTTTTGAAAAGCAAAACCCCTGAAACAGGCAGTTACAATTCTGGGGTGCTTACTGCCCACTGCTGGATACCTGGGGACCCAGCCTTAACCTTTATATCAATGTGCATAGACAGCTAGGGCCGTGGTATATGGTAGGAGAACTTTTAGGATAACACATTATTGACATTGGACACACTCGGATTTTGGTTTTGAGTTTATCACTTGGTAGCTCTGTGACCTGGGTCACATCATTTAACTTTTCTGAACCCCGGCAGCATGGAAATGGGGGTAATAATTATTGTGTATAGTAACGTTTTGAGGGTTAAATAAAATCATATGTGTAAAACATGTAAGTGCTAGGCACGGGGGAAGTGTTCAACAAATGAGAGCCATCAGAATGAGGCTGTAGCTGAGCTTGACATAAAGGGCAGCCCCTCTTTTTGGCAGCAGAGGGGAGAGAAACCCCAAAAGCACACTGCCCTACCGTCCAGGCTCCATGAGTCACCGTCTGTGTATTAAGTAGATGTTAAGGGTTAAGGTAGCCTGAGAAGAGGATTTTGATGGCTGTTGATGTAACCTCCCTCCTGCTGGGCATTCACTTTCCTGGCCACAAGAGATGGGATTGAAGACTAATGGGGAAAATGACCCAGCAACTCCACTGGGAGCTGCAGGTGTCAGAGAAATGAGACTCTGGCTGATACGCTCACAATCCTGAGCCTGGCTCCTTTACTGATTTATCCAACACACATGGAACACGTATTCCATATACCAGGCGCTGGTCTAAGCGCATTCAAGTTCTCGTTCATTTATTCCTCGTAAACATGCCATGAAGTAGGTATACCGTGATGATCCCTGCTTTCAAGATGAGGGAACGGGGACACAGAGAGGTTGAGTAAATGGCCCATGGTCACACAGGTCGAAAATAGTCATGTCCAGATTATAAGGCTGGTGGCCTGGTCCCAGTGTCCATTCTGTTCATCACTATCCCGCTGGTTCTCAAAGTGGGGTGTCCAAAACCGCTGCAGCAGCAGTGTTCTAGAACCAGCGAGAAATGCAAATTCTTGGGCCCAACCCTGTACTCACTGGGTCAGAAGCTCTAGGGAAGGGGCTCAGGCATCTGTGTGTGTGTGTGTGTGTGTGTGTGTGTGTGTGTTTAAAGATTTATTTATTTATTAGAAAGGGGGGGGGCAGAAAGAGAATCCTCGAGCAGACTCCCTGCTGAGCACAGAGCCTGACATGGGGCTCGATCTCACGACCCTAAGATCATGACCTAAGCCAATCATGACATTAGCCGAAGTCAAGAGGTTGACGCTTAACCAACTGAGCCACCAGGCGCCCCCCACCCCACCCCAGGCATCTGTGTTTAGCAAGCCTTCCAGGGGGATGTAGGTGCCAGCTTCCACTGGAAAACCACCTCATTACCCCGCACGTGGGAAGAAAACAGTGTGCATTAGCTAAAATTCAGAAGTCTACGATACTTTGCCCCAGGTGCTTCATCGCCCCCTAGTCCAGGATCCCCTTTCAGCGCAGCTGAGAACCCTAGTAGCATGTGTAGGAGGAAGCAGAGGCCTTGGACGTGCCATTGAGAATTCTGACATCACGTGACTGTGTGCACTCGGCGTTCATCTGTCTTAATCCAAGTCAAACAAGCAAGCTGAACCGTGACTAAGGAAACACAGAAACAATCAATCCCAGTAATTGTCTTTAAGGAGAACGAAGCTCTGTGATTATTAACACCTTCTCTGCTGTGTCCTCTCAAAACTCTCACTTCACAGCTGCTGCCCTCACACACACGGTCCCGGGGACGCCCTCACACACACGGTCCCGGGGACGTCCAAGGCGGGGCTGCTCATCACAAATCAAGACATTGGAGGAATCGGAGGGGCTCAGAGGCCCACGGCAGAAGCTCTTGACATGGGAACTTGGGCAGGTGCACCTGCTGAGACCCTTTTAAAAATATCAAGCCTGGGGCGCCTGAGTGGCTCAGTGGGTTAAAGCCTCTGCCTTTGGCTCAGGTCATGATCCCAGGGTCCTGGTATCAAGCCCAGCATTGCGCTCTCTGCTCAGCAGGGAGTCTGCTTCCTCCTCTCTCTCTGCCTGCCTCTCTGCCTACTTGTGATCTCTGAGTGTCAAATAAATAAATAAAATCTTTAAAAAAAAATATCAAGCCTTCTGGCAAACTGATTGGTCCTTTTAAACCCGTAATTCATAGTAGGGCGGGCACCGTGCCAGATGGCAGGAAGACAGTCGTCCTGGGAGGGGAGCTGAGTCTGACTGCATCAGAATGGAGCATTCCACGAGGAGTTTTTATCGGTTGAACTCTAAACCACTTAACTAAGGTTGAACAAAATGAATTTTCGCATTTGGATATTAAGCCCAAATATGAAATGCAAAACTCGTATGCAAATTAGCAGATGCTGTTATTTTTTGAGTCAAGGACTTAGGTTATTTTCATATCAGAAATGGTAACCCTGCCAGAGGCTGGGAGTGCACCTGGTTTGGCCAGGCAGCTCGGGGGCAGGGCTGGGGGGCTGTAAGGGGATACACGGATGGGACAGGTCCATTCTAGGCTGGTCAGGGTCTTTTCGTGGAGCAGGGGTTTGGTACTGATAATCGCCTTGGGATATCCAGTAGCTGGTTCTCCAAGCCGTGGAGGTGTGGTGTTAAAATCAGGACGACATCTGGCCTGGAGCATTTTCAGAGCTGTCACTAAAATCTTTCTGGCTAGAAGTCCATCTTGAGATCCGGTTCTGCTCACCCGACACAAGTTAGCTGCCCTAAAAACCCAGGCCACTAATCCTAGTAGAGTCTTAGCGATTAACCAAGGTTTTTCATTCCTCCTGGCTGGCTTCTGAGGTTATCCTGAATCTCTTCCCTTCTCTAGACCCCCTGGGCTTCCCTCTTCCTCTCTTACAGCGGATAATTTTAACTCATAGTTTGGTAAGACCATGTGACAGAAACACCCAGAACTTCCCTCTCTTCCACTGTAGATCTGCTCATTTCTTTATGCTGCTGCTGCTTCTTTGTGAAACAGAGAAAGCCGCTGCTTTCCGCATTCCAGTGGAAAATCATGTAACGAGAACTGAGACAGAGAGCAACAGACCAGGGCTCAAATCTGGACTTGAGCAAATTATTGTGGCATTCCCAGCCTCAGTTTCCCCGCGACAGAACGGGGACTACCCTTCTCTACTCCGTAGGAGTATTGAGAAGATCAGTAAGATCACTCTGGCAAACCCCAGCACAGTGCCTGGCACATAACAGATGCACAACAAAAAAATATTTGTAAGTCTCTTCTCTGGAAACATGTTTCATCGATTATTTGCCATTTCTCCTGGCTTCCTTCCTGCAGCCTAAAAAATATCATGAAAAGTGTCATATTCCTAAAAAACTGGTATCAAGTTCCTTCACTGATGTTCCTTCCTTCATCTACAATTAATGGCATGTCTCCTTGTGTTCACAGTCTAACTCTATTAAAAGAGTAGCACATGGGGCACCTGGGTGGCTCAGCAGGTTAAGCATCTGCCTTAGGCTCAGGTCATGATCCCAGGGTCCTGGGATATAGTCCTGCATTGGGGGGGGGGTCCTTGCTCAGCGGGGAGTCTGCCTCTCCCTCTGCCTGCTACTCCCCTTGCTTGTGCATGATTTCTCTTGCTATCTCTGTCAAGTAAATAAATGCAATCTTTAAAAAACGAAACAAAAAAAGAGTAGCCCATGCTTCCTGTCTGCTCTTTTTCACCTCCCACTCTTCTCAACCAGAGCAGCAGGGTATGGAAATGACCAAATGTCAAAGAATTTTCAAACCAGCATTGCTTCCCTGTCCACACCCTGAGGAACTCTCTACACTGTTCAACATGAGCCAAGAATGCCACCTTCAATGGAGGGATCTCCTAGGGTCTGCCCTCTGCCCTATTTTCTTACTCTGAACCCCCTGCCTGGGTGATCTCACCTGCCCCTCACTTTCCTGCGACCACGTTCAGGCTGATCTCTTTAATCCCACCTGCTCTTCTCACGTGTCCAGCTACCCACCGGCCATCCCCAACAAGGGTCCTGCAGCATCCAAACTGGAAGGTCCATACTGAGTTCAAATGTCCTCCTGCCCCATACGATCATCCGAGGGCTGCCATAACAAATGGCTATGAGCAGTGTGGCTTATCACCCTTAGTTCTGGAAGCCAGAAGTCTAAAATCAAGGTGTTGACAACATACTGCTCCCTTTGAAGGGTCCAGGGAGAACCCTTCCCTGTCTCTTCCAGCTTCTGGTGGCCCCAGGAGTCCCTTGGTTTGTGGCTGAGTCCCTCCAACCTCTTCCTGCGTCTTCATATCACCTTCTTTTCCCTGGGTGTCCTCTTTTTATAAGCTACCAGTTACTGGATTTAGGCCCATCCTATTCCTAGTGTGATTTCATCTTGAATCTCAAGGTCTGAAGCTAATTACATCTGCAAAGACCCTATTTACAAAAAGGTCACACTCAAAAGTTCCAGTGGGTATGAATTTTGAGGTGACACCATTGAACCCACTACACTCACCCATCACATCCAATGAAAGCCCAAAT